TTTGTCCCTGCTGAAGGGTCTCCTTATGTTGTCCCCGCCCCTGGAGGGACCGGCCCCTTCCCTTGCCTCCACAGCCTGACCCTGTCCTGCGCTCACTTTGCTAATAGCCTGTGGAGTCATCTACGCTGTAGACGCCTGCAGATAGGAATCACGTCCGATTTGTCCTAGACCTTCAGAGCTAGGGATGCGCTGGGTTCACAGGTGCTGTAGACGTTTGTTAGAATGAACTCGGGTGACCACAGAGGAGCACAGGATAAGTTTCATGGCGCAGGGAACGAGTGGATTTAGGTAAAATTTTTAAAGACACGCTGAGCTGTCTCAACTCTCTTTACTTGCCCTCTGAATCTCAAGGACCAAAACTATTTGGATTTCATAGTGTCCTTCATGATTGGGACTCTAGGAACTGAATATAGGAATACTTTAAAGCACATGTAGAAACACAGACCCAGTCTTAGACATGGACCGAGGTGCTTTCTGGGGCCTGGATTGCTGATTTGAGTGGAAGTGATGGTTTCCTCGTTGCCTGCGTTGACACTGCATACAGCCCCGGCCTAGGAGCTCTTTTAACCGTCTTTTAAATTTCTGATTGGCATTGTCCAGTCTCTTCTGGCTTTGTTCTCTGGCACCAGATGTGGGAGGTGAAGAGAAGCAAGTGTTATTGCCACTTGAGGACCATACAAATGAGGATTGCATAAAGCTGGAAAAACACAGAAAACTCAGGCTTCTGAGCTTTGACTAACAGAGAAATTACTACTATTTGAAAATTAAACCCAACATGGCTTATTCCCACAAAAAGCTAAGGTGTACGTGGGTAAAGTGAACAATTCCCATATGTAAAAGTAGCGGGTGGTTTCATTTCTGAGTATGGTGTCATGTCCAGTTGGCAGCTGTCTCTAAGCTGTTGTTTTCCATCGGAAGCAATGCACTGAGACGTTTGCTGCAAGGAGACACACTAAGGAAAGAAGAAAATCGTTATTTTAATCAAGTGCCCGCCCTGTCAATCGTTCCATTGAATTCTTACAGCAACTGTTGTACGTTTCAGCTTTATTTCGAGATAATTACAGCGTCACACGTTGTAAGACATAGTACAAAGAAATCCTGTGTACTTTCACCAGTTCCCCCCGTGGTAACATCTTGCATAACTGTAGTAGCGTGTCACAACTGGGAGATCGTCATCCATGCCATCGGTTGACGTTTTTCACATGTCCTCGGTTTCACATGTGCTCGTGAGTGTGTGTGTGTGTGTGTGTGTGCACGCATATTTATTTAGTTCTTTGCAGCTTTACCACATGTGTATGTTACCACTTCTTTTTCAACACGTGAGGGAAACGAGGTTCAGATAAGTAATGTGAAATGCGTAAAGTATAGACCTGGGGTTTGAATCTAGGTCTGTCTGTTTGATCCGAACTTTTGCATTTTTAGTAATGCTAATGATGAACAACAGTCAAAATCAATAACCCAATGGTTATTGCACTCACGATCACACTCACCATCACTCTCACCATCGCACTCACCATCACACTCACCGTCGCTCTCACCATCACACTCACCGTCGCTCTCACTGTCGCGCTCACCATCGCTCTCACCGTCGCACTCAACATCGCTCTCACTGTGACTCACCATCACACTCACCGTCACACCATCACACTCACCATCACACCCACCATCACACCATCACACCATCTCTCTCACCATCGCACTCAGCGTCGCACTCAGCGTCGCACTCAGCGTCGCTCTCACCGTCGCACTCACCGTCACACTCACCATTACTCTCACCATCGCTCTCACCGTCACTCTCACCATAGCACGCACCATCACTCTCACCGTTGCTCTCACCGTCACTCTCACCATAGCACGCACCGTCACTCTCACCGTCGCTCTCACCATAGCACGCACCATTGCTCTCACCGTCGTTGCCCTCACCATGACTCACCATCACACTCACCATTACTGTCACTATCACTCACTATCACACCATCACTCTCACCATCACACTCACCATCGCTCTCACCATCGCACTCAACATCGCTCTCACCATCACACTCACCATTGCTCTCACCATAAGTCTCACCATGACACTCATCGTCACTCTGACCGTCACACCGTCTCACCATCGCTCTCACCATCACACTCACCATCACTCTCATCATCACACTCACCATCACACTCACCATCATACTGTCGCTCTCACCTTCGCACTCAACCGTTGCACTCACCGTCGCTCTCACCGTAGCACACACCGTTGCTCTCACCGTCGCTCTCACCGTCGCACTCACCGTCACTCTCACCGTCGCACTCACCGTCGCTCTCACCGTCGCTCTCACTATCGAACTCACCATCGCTCTCACCATGACTCACCATCACACCACAGTATCACACCATCACTCTCACCATCACACTCACCATCACACCATCGCTCTCACCATTGCACTCACAATCTCACCATTGCTCTCACCGTCGCACCCACCGTCACTCTCACCATTGCTCTCACCATTGCACACACCATCGCACGCACCATCGCACTCACCATCGCACTTACCATCGCACTCACCATCGCTCTCACCATCGCACTCACCATCTGACCGTAGCTCTCACCATCACATCGTCACATGCACCGTCGCATGCACCGTCGCACTCACTGTCGCACGCACCGTTGCTCTCACCATTGCAATCACCGTCGAACTCACTGTCACTCTCACTGTCTCACGCACCGTTGCTCTCACCGTCGCGCTCACCGCCGCACTCACCGTCGCACTCATCACACTCACCGTCACACTCACCATCAATATGAAACATTTAGTACTTACCACATGCAGGACTGTTCAAGTGTATTAACTTATTTAAACTTATTGAATCCCCCATGAACTGTACCACATAAATTGCATCACAGTTGAGTTAGTATCATTCAACTCTAATGATATTATTAAGCAATAGGTCATCATTTTTACTACTCTGGAAATCAGTAATAAAATAGTAAAATTCTACCTTTTTTTTACATAATTTCATGTTTTGAATCTCTGATCTTGGCGATTGTGATTACACTTGTGTGTGTGTGTGTGTGTGTATTTGTATAAAGTGAGACCTGTATCATTATACATTGACTTAGGTTGAGCTACCATAAAAATATTTTTCCTGAATTGTAAATAAGAGCTAGTTTAGGCAGGATGCCAGGTTTTTATGAGAATAAATATAAACCACCAAGAATACTTAAGAATGCAGTTGCGAGAAGGTTTTTTCTTTTTCTTTTTTCCTGCCTGGAGTATTTTGGATGTTTTTGGCCACATACAGCCCTAGGAATGTTTCAATTTGATCAAATCTCTCAAGTTTCGTATCTGACTTCCAGAGTGGTACCTATGCATGTGGTTGTGAATTATCACTGGTTATCAGAATATTATAAGGCTTTGGAAAGATAACAGACACGCTAATCAGAAGTCCGTAATTTATGAGTCTTCGCTGGTTAAATATCTTGTAAAGCTGTCTTTCTAATGAACAGCAGCTCTTATTCAGACCAGAAATAGCAACAGTCCCATGTGTTGTAGACCCCAGGAGGTCTCGGTGTTTTTGTAGACAGCAGACAGAAATAAAAAGAATTTTGTCCTTTTTACCTCATGGAATCCCGCGGAAAATGAAACATGAGCTCTGAGTTGATGCTGACTTCCGCCAGGTCACCTCCCTGAAGAGTCCCGGGCAAGCACTGCTGCAGCATTTCTTGGACAGGAGCGTGCCGGCCCCGGGACGAGACGGATGGTCTGTGCAGGCTGCTCCCGGGACACTGCGCTACTGTCTGCTTGCAGGGAGCTTCCAGTGAGAGCACGCGCAACCTGCATCTGCAGCCTTGACTCTTTCCAGGGGTATCACATACCTCCAAATTAGAGTCTCATTTAGCCTAAGTGCTACGCCCTTTGTTGTTGCCATTGTTTAAAAAAAAAAAAAAAAAAAAAAAAAAGCGTGGCTACAAATAATGCCACACCAAGTATGGGTTATTCTGGCTTGCTTTTGGGAACTCGATTTTGGACGTTCGATAACGCAGATGTTTTTGAAGCTGTGTATTATTGGGAGCTCTGGAAGCCGCGAGACCGTTGTAACGGGCCGTGTGCTATCAGCTTTCTCTTCTGAAGGTTTTCCTATTCGTGACTCACGTCACTGTTCGGCTGTAACGTCGAGGGAGGAGTCATAACGATTAAGGAAGGGAATATATGCATTGTCTTTTTTTTTTTTTTTTTTCCTGAAAGCTTGTACACATTTTCTGTCTCGGGTTATGTAAACTTGGAGGACTGTAAAATGACCATCGCATAAGGTAAAAACAGGCCTGTTAATACATCCATCTTTGGCATTTAAAAGTCCAAAAGCTTCCCTTGCTTCTTTGGAGAAGCGTTTTGCTTGATGGCCCAGAATACAGATCCAGTAAAAGCGACACGTTCCAGCTGTCAGTTTCACACACCTTAAGCGAAATTAATGAGATCACACTCTACGGTGACGCTTTGTGCTTTATTTCCATTTTATAGGTCTGTATGAGCTGCTGGCAGCTCTGCCAGCCCAGCTGCGGCCACATGTGGACAGCCAGGAAGACCTGACCTTCCTCTGGGATGTGTTTGGTGAAAAAAGCCTGCATTCACTAGTCAAGGTAAACCATGCTGTTGTCAGATGATCTTCGCGGAAAAACATATGGAAAAATATTTTGAGCGCCATCTAGTAAACCAGAGATCAGATTGTTGCCCTCTGAAAACAAAACAGCCTTGTTCCATTTCACTGCCAGGCGTGGAAGTTGTTAAAAGGATTCCACCAAAAATACATAGATGATTTCACTTAATGGTGGTGATCTGGCTGTGCATACTGATGGAGCATGCCCGTGCTTGCCCTTGTTTAGAAAAGGAATGTGAAATAGTAGCAGGAAGGGTTAGACTCCTCATGGTCAACGTTCATGAGCTGGAATTTAACTTAAATAAATAAATGTTCGCAGCAAAAATTAGGCGGAATATATTTTCTGAGGTTCAGGATGACAGCTGTTCAGCAGCTACATTAATTTAAAATAATTTCCTCTAATAAAGTCAAGTGAAATTCTAGCAAAGCTGTTTCTTCTCCTGGCACAGTGCCCCTGAAATGGAATTTTGTATATAAATACAGGGACGCTAAATAGGAATAAAAAACAGTGTGTGGGAGACCGTTTTAGCCAAGCGTCACGCCGCGGAAATGATCAGCCACCAGAAACCAGATCTTGCCACACAGCAATGCTGGGAGTGATCAGAACTCTAAAAATAGTAAGACGAGAACAAGGAACTTACTGGAAAATATGCCACTCTTGCTTCTGGAAATATGAGTTGCATTTTCTCTCTTTTAACTCAAGCTGAAAGAAATTTAGAGTCTTTCTCGAGTCTGGACGAGATGGACATGTATGCCTCAACAGTATCTGATCCCGTCCTCCATTCAGCTCAACCTGTTATGGTTGTGTGTTGTGATAAGAGGCTTTTTGACCGATGTATAGTATTTGGAAATGAGTGACTTCTGAGGTGCGGTTGCTTCACAGGACAGGAGAATTCTTACTGCATTCTTCTCTTGTCAAATTTGCTGAAATTTGTGCACTTCAAGCAGTGGCAGTTCCCAAGAAGTTAGCGTGTTGATATGTGGCACTCTCCTAGCAATACATTTAAAGAGTGCTTTATTGGTTTATTTAGTTTTTCTATAATTGCCAAGATACCTTTGTATTCTGAATGATTTTAGGTCTTTTAGTTGCTCTCTTGGGATGTGTTAGAAATGGTTTTGGGCTTATAATTGATGACGTTTATCACTTACTGAGGCAGTCATGAAAATATTGCTGTATTAAATGTTTGGAAGTTATGGATTTGATTAGATTGATTTGATCTCTTGAGAGAAGGAATAAAACACATTTCACATGGCATCATCACTCCTTAATCAGTAAACAAACGTGCCCCCCAAACAATGGATGTGTGTGTGTTTGTATTTATTTATAATGTGACTACTGTCTCAGTTTCCTTGCCTATAAAATGGAAATTATAATGCCTATTGACAGGGTTGTTTGTGAGTTTCAAATAAGATAGCGAAGGTCTTAGTTCTTTTTGTAGTTATATAGGTTAGGCAAATATAATTATTAAGAAAAAAATGAGTTATCATAGCATGTGAAGGACCAAAAAGAATTGACAGAGATGGTTATTTTTATTAATAGAATAAAACTAATGTGTAAAAAGTTTCTTCGTTACACTAGCTGTTGAGTTTTCAGCATAGGTTGTTATTCCAAGTATGTGTCCATAATTAAGTGGCTAGGAAGCAAACTGTTATTGATATCTGGTTTATAAAAACAATGCAGCAAATGAATTGATATTGCTACTATTTTAAATAGCATAAGAACATGTGTACTGTCCCAAACGTTTTTCAGTAGTTGCCGTAAAGTGTATTTTTAAAATCAGCTTTAGTATGTAACTCTAGTACGTCCTCCCTTTCTTAACAGCTCGCCGCTCCCGGCTCCCCACTGGGGACTCCAGGGTGTCCTCTGACTGACCCATTATGTTAGTTGTCAAGTAGGAAAGCCTAGGGTGCCCTGCAGGAGGTAGGTCTCATGGGACAGTAGTTTAAACAGCCGGGACAGCCTGTTAGCTGTCTTCCAAGTGCCTCTACTGAAGGGTGGAGGAGAGAAGGCTTCGGCTCCTGTACGTAAATCTCAGCAGAGCAAAAGGAATTTGTTTGAAAAGAGTTGTTTTTAGACTGAATCGTAATGTGCTCTGATGTTACGCTCTTTTGCCTGCAGTTGACGCTGTTGGTGTATGGGTTAGAACTGGGTGAATGTAAAACCTGGTTTTATTCTAGCCCCGAATTTTCACAGTTCTCATCTTCTTTCAGGTAAAAAAAGAAAGTGGTTGTTAAATCACCACACGGTTTTGAATGCAGACAACTTGCTGGTCTGATGTAAAATATACTTAAGAAGAGGTGGGTTTGGTGTCAGGGTCTGTGGCAGGTATGGCACATGCCATCGTAGGATTTTGAGCTCCGCTCTGGGGGAGTACTGGAGGTTGTGGGCTTGTCACTGGAAAAGAGCTATGATGATCCTACACTGTGTCAGCTGCGGATTTCTTTTTTTAAAGAAAAACTTCTAAATAGAAAAGTTGAATAATAAAAACTGTGGGCACGAGATCCCGAAGGAGGGTTAGGCTGAGGGTGACGTCAGAAGAAAGATGGTACTGGTTAGAAGACCTGGGAAATACCATATGTAACGTGAGGCAAGACAAGGATATCCATTTTCACATGACCTAGTGAAGTTGATAGATCATTAGTCAGCACAGAGCCACCTTTTCGACCCACGTTTTGCAAATATACAGAACCATGAAGCTTGTAGTTTGTGTCTGAACCTCGTTTCTAAATTTATCTCCTGTCCTTGTGTGTTTTCCTACTGAGATTCCTTTACTTACCTTAAATTTTATTTTATTCAGTGGCGTTGTATGTATTTTTATAATCTGGTTTAAGTTCACTTTAGAGCAAGATGTGGCTTAAAGACTTCCATAGCTGTGTTATATTTATTTTAAAGAAGCCTAGTAGTTTTGTTTCTTCAAGAAATTTTTGTTCTTATTTCACAGTTGTGTTGGGTTTCTAGGATAAGAATATCAGACTTTTAGTACCTTTTAAATAGCTGTGTATGCTTTTTCTCCCCTTTCAAATAGTTGCATACATGTATGGGGACAGGAGAAAAAAAAGGGAGCAATCTGAATTTTATCCTTTTGGCATTCGGAAGTATTTCAACAAAACACAAATAGATTATTTTCAAGAAAAATTTCCTGATGTGATTGAATTACTGTGTGTATTTCTGTGATTTCAGTCTTACAGGAGTAATGATAAAACTCACTAGACCCGTACAACATTGCGTTACGTAGTTTTAATTTCCGATGATTGATTGCTTTGTTGGTGCTGTCTTTGTTGACGTCTTACCATGTGCCAGACACCGTGTAGGTCCCCAGGGCTGAGCTTTCCGGCAGAGCGGGTGCAGCCCCTTGTTTTCTGGCGTCTCCAGCCCCCCAGAGGGCTTGTAGATGCAGCGACGGGCAGTTGCAGCGTTCCGGGGCTGCCCGTGTTTACAGCTGTTATGGGACACGCGAGGTGTCTCCCTCAGTGCTGGCCTCTGAGAGGTGCTCAAGGAGGATTTGGTAGTTTAAGCTAAAACCTGCATGTTGAATCCGAGTTGCTCAGGTAAGGATTTATGTGGGAGGAGGGGGAGGTCAGGCAGAAGAAATAACTATATTGTACAAACACCAGGAGGCCAGTGTGAGCCTCGTGTCTTCAGGATGGAGGCTGCCAGCACCTCTGGGCTGCAGGTTCTCTCCTCACCCAAGTCAAGGTTGCTTCTAGCCTTGGGCAGTTATGAATAAAACTTTGATAACCATATTTGTGTGCAGGTTTTTGTGTGGGCGTTAAGTCTTCCAGTCATTTGGGTAAATACCTAGCAGCATGATTCCTGGATCATATGGTAAGACTGTTCAGCTTTCTGAGAAACTGCCAATCTGCCTTTCAAAGTGGCTGTACTACTTTGCATTGCTACCCACAGTGCCTGAGAGTTCCTGTTGTTCTGCATCCTTGTCAGCATCTGGTGTTGTCAGTTTTGTGGATGTTAGCCATTCTAATAAGTGTGTAATGGTATCTCATTACTGTTTTAATTTGCAGTTCTCTTATGTCGTGATGTTAAGCATCTTTTCATATGCTTATTTGTCATCTGTATATCTTGTTGACGTGTCTCTTCAGATCTTTTGTCTGTTTTTTAAATGGGTTGTTTTCCCCTTATTGTTGAGTTTTATCATTTTTTTGTCTTTCTTGGATACAAGTCTTTTATCAGATACGTGTTTTGCAAATATTTTCTCCCAGTATGTGACTTGTCTTCATTTTCATAATGGTGTCTTCACAGAGCAGAAGTTTTAAATTTTAATAAAGTTCATCTTAAGTTTTCTTTCATGGATCGTGCTTTTGGAGATGTATCAGAAACTCATTGCCATACCCAGGGTCACCTAGATTTTCTCTTCTTTTTTTTTTTTTCAATTTTTTTTTTTGCGGTACGCAGGCCTCTCGCTGTTGTGGCCTCTCCCGTTGCGGAGCACAGGCTCCGGACGCGCAGGCCCAGCGGCCATGGCTCACGGGCCCAGCCGCTCTGCGGCATGTGGGATCCTCCCGGACCGGGGCACGAACCCGTGTCCTCTGCATCGGCAGGCGGACTCTCAACCACTGCGCCACCAGGGAAGCCCTAGATTTTCTCTTCTGTTATCCTCTACAATTTTTACATTGAGCTCTGTGATTGATTTTGAGTTAATTTTTGTGAAAGGTGTAACTTCTATGTCTACGTTCAAATTTTTGCACATTGACTATCCGATTTTTCTAGCATCAATCGTTGAAAAGACCATCCTGTCTCCATTGAATTGCCTTTGCTCCTCTGTCAGAGATCAGTTGATTTTTATTGTGTGGGTCTATTTCTGGGCTCTCTATTGTGTTCCACTGATCTGTTTGTCTGTTTTTTCACCAGTACTACCTTGTTGATTACTGTAGCTTTTATTTTGTTTAAAAAAATTTTTTTTGGCTGTGTTGGGTCTTCGCTGCTGCTGCACGCGGGCTCTCTCTAGTTGTCTTGAGTGGGGGCTA